GTATAATAAATATAAATACTTGTTAAAATAATGTGTTTTATTTTTCTTTTAGCTCGTTTGTCTGCAGTATCAGCTATAAGTTTACTGAATCGATACTGCTCAATACTCCCACACGATCAGTTCACAGTCATCACGCCGATGTGGATTCAAGAAGAGGTCGTGGATAGTCTTGGTGTCGTACGAAAGCTTGTCACGATCGTAATGCCCATCGCTTGTCCTATTAAAGAGGAAATACAGGTGTGCTTGATTTAATAAATATAAATTTATTATAATATAAAGTTTCATATTATATAGTCACGCCTATAGTAAATCAAAAGTTTTTATCCATCATATTGTGAGTCCTATGTGATAACTTGATAAGAGATGATCTTAATGCCATGACGGACACTATCCAAGACTACGAGGTACAACGAGAATTTTTGAAAAATATCATAACGTTTTGTCCAATAGGGGGTCTTTTAGATATTTTCATATGGGCCTATTCTACGGGATTCCTATTAATTGATGAAAAGTGTTACAATAAAGTAATTCACTTCTACGTACTCCTTCGCAAAACACACAGCTTGGTGCCATATTGTTATTTAAGTCGTAATGTAGGTAGAAGGCGCACATTTTCTAAATACTTGACTTTTTGTCCAGGGATTGCCTAGATTCAGTTTGAAGTCCGCCAAGAGATCAGCAGCTCTAAACGCTTGCAAGTTGTTGTATGAAATAGGAGAACTTGATGCGCTAACGCTACTGCCCACTCGATACACGTACGTATCTATACTCATAATCAGAATCTACACTTTGGAATGATCAAATTAGCTTCTACTGATGTACGACAAAAGCAACATTAGTTCAATAAAATAAATGATTGAAGTTTGCCATAGTTCATAGGGAAATATGTGTGCTATAATATAATACAAAAATACATTACAGTGCAGTAGATTTCGACGACGCAGAAGTGAAAGCTTGCTTCCTAAATTGGCGCGACGAAGACGTGGTTCGTGACGACCCTGAAATTCCATACCCAGGAACAACGAAACGAGTTAGGAAACATCGAATACAGGTTTGTAACCAACAAAAAAAAAAACATCATAATAAATTCATACATAGAATCACGCCTTTTATCCCCGAAGGGGTAGGCAGAGGTGCACATTATGCCACTGTACAATGTAACACCCGCTTTTCACTATTTATGTTATGAGTTCCATGTAATAGGGGGTGAGCCTATTGCCATATACCGGGCACGATTCCAGACTCCGTGCTACTACTGAGATTTTTTAAAACCCAGTAATACTTTGCCCGACCCGGGAATCGAACCCGAGACCCCTTGCCCCGGCAGTCGCACTTGCGACCACTCTGCCAACGAGGCATAATAAATCCGTAGCAAATAAAACTTTCATGAGACAATAAGTTAATTATTATGTTTTTGGCTTACTCCCGTTATTGTTTGACGAGGCACTCGACTAGTTTCAAGCCATGCTAGAAAGAAGCGGAATGCTGCTAATCAATATGAGCCTCTTAAAGTTGCGTGATCCTTCAGTTCCTCGTCAAACAGTCACGTGAGTAAGCTGAAAACATAATAATTAATACCATAGAAGATAACTTACTTATTTATCTAAAATGTCGTGGTGGTGGCCCGGAGGTTTAAGACGTCCGCTTCTCATGCATGAGGGTACGGGTTCGAAACCTACCAATGGCAAGTACCAATGTGACTTTTTCTGAGTTATATTATGTACTTTCTAAGATTATCTAGACGCCACTGACAAACGGTGAAGGAAAACATCGTAAGGAAACCTGGGCTTATAATTTCTAATTATAAGTTTATAATCGCCAACTCGCATTGAGCAAGCATGGTGATTAATTCTCAAACCTCTTGTGTGAGAAGAGGTTTTGCTCAGCAGAGGGCATTTATAGGCTGTTGATGATGATGAAAAATGAAATATTTAGTTTAAAATTAAATAAAATCGCGGGTTACTCACATGAATATACTGAGAAAAGCTCTACTAGTTTCGAGCCACAGAGGGGTTCTTCCTCATGAGCAGCGTGCGCGGTCGCGGCGACGTCGCGCAGCTCACGATAGTTATTATAAAAACATATTTAGTTTTATTGTGCTGTCTAACTAAAATCATAAACACACACTATTAATAGGTATATTGAGAAGTTGGCTACAAGCCAATTTTTATTGAGAAGTTGGCTTGTAAGTAAAGCATTGTTAACTATTCATTTTAGCTAAATTTTTTGATGATACATTTTCAGTTCCCACTGCTTCTAAACAGTGTGCCAGACGGCGATGTTTACTATTTACACGTAATAAAGTCGAGAATTGCTTTTGCGGAGCCCAAGGATACTCGAGAGAATGCTCTGTATAAGCTTCTGGAACGTGGTGAAGGGTATGGTTTCCTCACCCAAAACCCTTTGCCCACACTCTGCGAGTTTCCAATGTACCTGACAGTCGGAGAGGTCGCTACTTCCATCGATGTCAACTATGCCGTCATCAAACTTAACGCTGCTATGTTCCAGTTGGTCAAACAGTAAGTTTTGTTTGAATTTTTTTTGTGTGTACTTTTACCCTACAATTCAGTCACAGATGGCGCCGATGTAAGAGAATATTTTATTTAACCGGTCAGCTACCCCGGTGTAATGTATTGTGTCAGATATACTTTGAGTCATGTCGGGGCAGTCTTAATACTCCAGTTTCGCGGAGAACCTAACGGGTAACCGGGGCTCCGGCTCGACGTGCAGGAGAAGGAACGGGGTGGTTTTTAGTCAGTAAGAGTCTGACACTCCCTCCCGCCTCACCCAGGCGGGAGCAGTCATTCGATGATTTTACCCCCTTAAAAAAAAAATACTCCAGTTAGAAAAGATAAATATTTTTTTTTCTATCGCGATGTAAATTCTCATGGACTTCCCACGTCGTGGAGACGACAGAGAGTGCAGTTATCGAGGTTTTATAGCCTATAGCCATCCTCGATAAATGCGCTATCGAACACAAAAATAATTATTCAAATTAGACTTGTAGTTACGGAGATTAGCGCGTTCAAAAAAAAAAAAACAAACTCTTCCGCTTTATATAATAGTATATAAGATATAAGATGACTGAATAATCCTTTGTTTTCAGATTCCATTACTTCCTATTCGAGCAAGTACTAGCAATTGCCAAAAAGTTCGTTGCGTTTGAGGGTGAAGTTAATTGTATGTACGTTGTACCCATCAAAGAAGACAATGGATATGACATAGATTGGAATGTTATGACCACACATAATGAAATTGCACCAGTCCAGCCAACTTCGTATGAGGTAGGTACTAGCTTCTGTCAGCAGTTTCTCGTAGGATAACGTATATATAACGTAGCCTATGTGTTATCCAGACTATCACCTACCCCTGTTCAAAATTTCATCTCGATCCCTACCGCCGTTTTGACGTGAAGAAGTAACAAATTGTCATACAACTTTCACATTTCAATAATATTAGTAGGTTTTTTTAGTATTTTTTTTTAATAACGTTGCTATATTGTATGATTTGTTGGTTGTGTATTACTGTACAAGGGGTCTTGCTAAACGCATAAATAAAATACTTATGTTTATGGGTCTTGTTAATACTCAGAGCCAAATTGTTATGTTTAAAATGCATAGTCATCCACAGACGAATTCTAATGGCAGTTGTTCCATAGGCTCTATAGAAATAAGGTGTGAATTTATTAACTTTTCAACCTTGTAGTCTTATTATAAAGTTGAAAATCTAATGCCTTTTTTTAAACGTTGCCCCACACTAGGATTTTCTCCTGTGTCGTGGGTGCGTTTACAAACATACTTAACATACACATGACACCCGGAACAAAAATTAGTGGATCACACTAAGTGTTGTTCCGTGCGGAAATCAAAACTGCGAGCGGTAGCCGGTTGCCCAGCCACCGCATTAACCGTGCGGTTTCTTTAACCTTTTGAGCGCCAGGGTCACAAATACGTGACAAGCGAAAACTGTCCCTGAGCGCCAACGACACAAATATGTGACAAAAACAGCGGTACATTAAAACACGAAATAAACTATTTAAACATTACTTTAATGCCTATTTATTTATATACCTGTAAAATAGAAGGTCCAAAATTTATTTATTTCCATAAAACTAATTAAATTGCATTATAAATATTGAGAAATTTTACGTTAAAAAGAAAGAAATAAACTCTGAAAAAAGAATGTCCTCACACGCCAGAGTCATAACTGCGTGACCGCTAGTGATGTAGCGCATGTTGGATAATATCATTATTTTAAATCAAAGATCGATGCGAAACTTTCCTCTGGAATATATTATTTTAGGTATAATTTGGTACTAGGATAAAGCAGCATTAATTTTATAAAACCAGTCTTAAAAATCATTCAATAAGCTACATAGTCAAAAATAAAATTTGGTTGGGTCGAATTTCGATATTCACTAATCCCAACTCGAGCGCATCCCTAACGCAACCCGAATTATCAGTACCCTGTACGCCATGGTCACGACTAGACGACAATATCGTGACGTCACAAGCGCGGCGACCAGAAATTAGTGAAGTGAATGAATAATATTTATGATTAATTTACTTGTGATATCGAGTTCAGAGTTCAGAATGCAGGTTGCATTGTAGATTTTGTATAATTTTGTTCTATTATTCAAAAGATTTATTAGTATAAGACTGATTGGTAATTGTGATAATTATATATAATCGTTAATTGTTTTAATTTGTTACTTTTTATGCCAGGTTTATAGAACTTAATATTTAAAAACATGTATACATAGTACATACTGTATAACATTTTATTAAAATTTTCTATTTTTTCATAGTTTTTATTTACCTTCTTAACCTATTTCAATCATATATTTTTAAGTACCTGTTACATTCGGAATTATAAATCTGATTTAAAAAACGTGTTTCATTTATTATAAAATAATATTGTACTAGAACATCGATAAACGAGATATTACGTTGCCACATCCTTATTTCGGAAGCGAAGTAGTTATTAAAATGGCGGGCCGTCCACGCCATGGTCACAATATGAAGACAGCAGATCAAGAATAGTGTTGTACCTACAGTTATTATATTTAAATATATTGTAGTCTCATATCTGTTATTACGGTATTATACAAGTCTGTAAATAGTGTATAACTATTACTTTAATAGGAAGAAATGTAATGTTGAATTGAATTTCAATGTTATAAGGACATTATATTTCGAAATTAAAGACGAAAATGAAAATAAAATTGATTATCGATGAAGTTTTGGAATCCCTATTTTTTTTTCCGATCCGAATTTGTGGCCTGGCTTTGAGGGCAAGTTCATGCGTTTTTGCTCTGGCGTTCAAAAGGTTAATAATCGCATTGTGTATTTATTTTGCCGGATAGCTTTTCCTTGCATTGATTGAAGTTTTATTTTCAGGAAAGACTTTTTATAAATGTAACACAAGAGAATTACAAGGACTGTGTCGTGACGCCGTGGTATAGAGTTCTGCCGGATAGGTGAGTTCTTTTATTATTTATTTTTTGTAGATTTTTGTTCGTAAATATCTAAAGCATTGTGGTTCAAATTAATAAAAGTTAGTATATTGATTCATAGTTGAACTCTGGTTAAAGGTTTATTGTTAACCAAATATTTTTTGCTTCAATTGCAACAATGACTGCACGGTTGGTGCGGTGGCTGGGCAACCGGCTGCCGTGCAACGTGTCGCGGGTTCGATTCCCACACGGAACCACACTTTGTGTGAACCACAAATTGTTGTTTCGGGTCTGGGTGTCATTGTGTATGTGAACTTGTATGTTTGTAAACGCACCCATGACACAGGAGGAAATCCTAATGTGGGGCAAAGTTTTATTAAAAAAAAAACATACATTAAGGGTTACACACGTACTTTTTGCGAAAATACTCTTATAATGCAACCAACTGACCTGAAAGCACGACGTCTTAACGCGCACGTTCCAATTCAAGTCACGAGCTTAACAGAAACATTAGTCAAATATCTATGTAAATAGGGAAGTGTATTGTGGACTTGATTGAAAAAGAGTTACTTTCTCGTTCTTCTCCATATGAGTCTACACCATGGAATGAGCAAATAGGATCACTTTTCAATTTTTTATTGACGTTCAAAAGTGCCTTCCTGGTGTATGTCTAAATAAATGATTTTGACTTTGAGTATCTTCTACAGTAACATCAAAATAATAAGTTAATGTGAAAAATAAATGTATCTACGATTATTGTTTAAATCTAAAAAATGTTTTATAAACGTCTTTACAGGTACATCGTGTCTCGGGTCCTCGAATATATGACGCCTCAGTCTCAGTTCGACTCAGATTCTTATTTAACATTTGCCGACTACTACGCTGACAAATATAAGTTGGAAGTTATTGGTGAGAAATCCCAACCTTTATTGGAAGTAAGTAGCTTTATAATACTTTTAAATAATTAATTATACTTGAATTGTATTGATGTCATATTTGCGTAGTATTTTTATATAATAACTAGCTTCTGCCCGCGACTTCGTACGTGCAATCCCGTTTTCTCCCGTTCCCGTAAGATTATTATCAGGATTTTTTTTCTATCATAAGAACCTTCTGCTAACAATAACAAATACAACAAAAAAAACAGCCACATTGGTCCAACCATTCTCAAGTTTGCAAAGAGGAGGTTGAAAAGATATAGCCTACGTTTTTCTTAGACGTAACAGTTATAATCTATATAAAAAAAAGAAAGAAAAACCATTTATATTGCTACGACACACAACAAGAATTTAGGAACACACAAAAAAGCCTATGGTGCGTCGCAGCGCAAAAGGCTGGAGCTCAGCTTAATACCGTGAATAAATAATAATAATAAATGAAACCCATTTCCCGTTTCATTCGATAAAAGTAGGCTATATCTTTCCAACCTCCTCTTTACAGACATAAAAATCATAGGTACCATATAATTATTCTATTGGGACATAAGAAAAAAAGAAAATCAAAAAACAAAGACACTTTTTCATTGGATTATTTATACAGGCATTAGCAACTCACCCTTCTCCAATATGAAATTATTCTAAAACAACATTGTCAACTCTATTACTTTTCAATAAAGTCTACAATTTATCGACACATTACTATTTTAATAGGTAAAAAACATAAGTTCAAGGATGAACTGTTTACTGCCGAGAGCGGCTACAATAAATGCTTTGACGGACAAGCAGAAGAAACTTGTGTCTGCTTCTCAAGGCGATGATAAAACAAACAGGGGCTTCGCAGAAGTATTTGTAGCTGAATTCTGTGTCAAATATGAATATCCAGGAGTACTATGGTACAAGGCTGTCATGTTACCAAGCATTATACACAGGTGAGTTCTTGAATATTAATTTACAACACAAAATTAGATATTACCGTTTAATTATGGACCCGAATTTCCCTTAGCTTAGGTTTTATTTATCGAACAATGAGCGGTTTCCAACTGATATACTTATACAGAAACTAGCGACGGCTTCGCACGGGTTCAATATGCATATATTATACATATATAAACCTTCCTTAAACTGTCAAACACCAAGCGGTCACCGGTGACCGCAACCTATTGTTCTATAATTGTGTCTACAAAACCGGTACTCGACGAGTTAAGAACCACTCTATCTATTAAAAAAAACCGCATCAAAACCCGTTGCGTAGTTTTAAAGATCTAAGCATACGGTATACTAGCGACCCATCCCGGCTTCACACGGTTGCAATATGCATGTATTATACATATAAACCTTCCTTAAACTGTCAAACACCAAGCGGTCACCGGTGACCGCAACCTATTGTTCTATAATTGTGTCTACAAAACCGGTACTCGACGAGTTAAGAACCACTCTATCTATTAAAAAAAACCGCATCAAAACCCGTTGCGTAGTTTTAAAGATCTAAGCATACATAGGGACAAACGGACGGCGGATAGCGACTTTGTTTTATACTATGTACTGATAAGTAAGAAGTAAGATGATTCCACAGCATCTGCCGGTTTGTTACTCAAAAACTGCTGAATCGACTTTATGCAGTTTTCTCTTGTGGATAGTATGATTCTTGAAGGTTTTTTAACTACCACTAAACCTGAGGGTTCAAAGCTAATGAACAGGAAATTATTCTTATTTTTGGTATGTGTTATATTGATGCTACAAGTAATTATTATACCGAAATACTACCTACAAATGTATAATTTTTATTACAGGGTGTTCATGTTATTGGTATCCCACGAACTACTCTCGGAAATTGCCGATGAAACGGGATACGGCACTCCAGTACGCAAAAAAAGTGAGTATAAGTAATTAATTAATTGGACGTCACTTTTGAGCACAACGCTTTAAGCTCCATGCGTTGTATTGCTATGGGGCACCAAACCAAAGCAAGTCCATACTGAGAATATGATCCGACCCAGGAGCTAACTAGCTGAGGATGACCTGATTTCACCTGATGATAAGCTATCTAGATATACCACGGACACTTTGAACACCAGAGAAGTTACAGATGCATTGCTGGCCCTTTTGAGGATTTCGGAAGGTAGTGGGAACAATTGAACGTCCGGTAACCTCACTAACACGGCAAAACACAACGCAAGCATTGTTTCACATCAGAGGGCCGGCTCCAGTGAACCAACCAATCAGAGCGCCGACCGCAGTCTCGTTTCGATTACTTTAAACCTAAAAGTAACTCGTACTAAGGCCTCAGCTAGCTATTCTGTAAGATGTCAAGTAACTGCATGGTTGATGCGGTAGCTGCCGCGCAACGTGTCATTGGATTCCCACACGGAACAACTCTTTGTGTGATCCACAAATTGTTGTTCCAGGTCTGGGTATCATGTGTATATGTACTTGTATGTTTGTAAAGTCACCCACGACACACGAATAATACTAGAGTGGGGTAATGTTTTTTTAACTTTTAACTCTCGAAGTGAGCTCGATCGCATTCGCGCCTGTCATTGGTCGAAATTATTTTACTAACCAATGACATAGCGTACCGCGATCGAGCTCACTTCCAGAATTTTAATTGACTATTTACGAAATATCATAGCAGTTTTCTGTGAGGCCGTGGTACTAGTCGACTCGGCCCATTCGTTCCAATTAATTTAAGACCTATGTTTATTTTTGGTATTTATTTACAGCTGAAGATTGGTTGCCGATTGAGACTCACATTCAGGTTGCTACCAATTCCCTGCTAGCTCAAGTTGAAGAACCACCTCAGGTTGCTTCGGTTGACAGGTAACCTTATTTTATCTTAAAAAAATACATAACATCACACCTTTTATCTCCGAAGGGATAAGCAGAGGTGCACCTGCACATTATGCCACTGTACAATGTAACATCCACTTTTCACTATTTATGTTATAAGTCCCATGTAATAGGGGCTATTACCATATACCGGAC